CCCCAAAACCCCAAAACCCCAAAACCCCTCTATCACAGAATAAGTTGAACTAATAAACTCAATTATTTATAAATTTCAGAATTCATCAAAAACATTCATGAATTATAATAGTACTAATTCCAAGTCAAGTGCCGACCCTCAGAAATTGCAAGAGCAAGACAGAATCGACAACTGAAACCAAGACTTAGGCAACAAATTTAAGAAAGAATTTAATAAATTAAAATGAGGAACAAATATGGGCTCTAATCAGGCCATGGTAAACCTTGAATTCAGACCTCTTGAGGATGTCCCCACAAGCAGAGAAACGAATGGAAATGGTCAGGGACATGTACAGAACCTAACCCAATGCGTTAAACCTTCTTCTGAAGAGATTTCTAAATCGGAGGGAGATGCTGCATATCTCCCTAGGAAAAATACCACAATTACACAGAACAGGAATTCATCACAAGTTCCTGACCAAAGTATCGATCGAGGAGAGGCTTCAGGAGGTTTGTTAGCTCCCCCACATCAAGAAGGGTCGACTTCAGAAATGAGCGAAAATTTCCCAAACTTACCGGCTTCCAGTCAAAATCCTCTACGAATCGAACAAGCCAAACCCACTGAAGAAATTTTTAAAGAAATGGGGTATTGAGAAAATGGACAAATAGAACCTACCTCAAAATATATAGCATCTCTAAAAGCTGATGCAAATTGGCCGCAAGGGCCCAATGAATGCCATCTGTGCTTAAAGCATAGGACTAGGAGCAGCCTTATTTCATGCACAAAAGGGAAACATGGCTGTAAAGTCATGATTTGAAATATTTGTGCTAAAAACAACGGTCCTAATAAAACTAAGCTTCGTAATGATTTCCAGTGACCTGTGTGTCAAGGTATATGATATTGATCAAAATGCTGCAAGCTTATGCTAGAAGAGGATTTTGCTAAAGCTTGCCAAATATTAGGTCTAGAAGCAAAAGTTTGCAACCGAAGTGCTATCTCTTCTCATACTCCATCTTTAGCACAAAAGGATGTAATGCAACAAGAAGTCACCCAAAAGTGAGAAATTCTAACACTCGAGGAACAAGACAATTATGAAAGTATTTCCAGATACCAAGTAGAAGAAGGCTCTGGATCGGAGGACAGCCACTGAATTCCTTCAAAAGCCACAAGGTTTAGAGCTCCAAGAGGATCTTACAATAAGCATAACACCAATAAAAGTAAAAGAAAAGATCAAGATTACGATGAATTATATGACTTATCTGAAACAGATGAAGAGCTCTTTGACTACGATAAATTTTTAAAAAGATTAAGCAAAAAGCAAACAAGAGTAAGCATGGACATCAGGATGTATGCCTTGAGGACACTTCCTGATGATATGACATCTTTCTTAAAAGGTAGCAAAAATGGAGATACTCAGATAACACCAATAGAAAAAGAGCAACAATTATCTTTCCAAGACCATTCAAAGAAGGAAATCATGCATCTCAGGCAAGAAAATCTTCATGAAGAAATAAATAAAGACCATAAATCTGATCCAAATGTTCCAATTACTAGGAACAAGAGGAGATGTACCTACAAAGACCATTCCTCTAGCTCAGAACTCTCAAACAGCAATCACACAGAATCCAAACGATATAATCTACGCGGCAGAACATCTCCCAAAAGCTACCTTGAACCCTGTAACGAATTCCCTGAACCCTCTGCTCTTGCTGCTAACCCCTCATCCACCCCAAAAATCATACATTCTAGCAAGCCGCCTAAATCCCAAGCTGCCCAACCCGCCTTGAACCCCTCTTATGCTCAGCCTCATCAGTCAACATTTCCTTCTTCAGGGACCAAAGTCCAGCAGCCTACGGCTGCCTTCCTTCTTTCCCAGTACTGAACATGAAGTCTTAGGCAGCTGGGTCAGCCAAGTTTAGCCCAGATGCCTGGGCTAAACCAGCTTTCACAGAATATTCATGTGTACCAGGCTAGAATGGACCAGGGTAGGTCTGCAGTGCAGAATAGGTATATCCCGCCCATTTTCACTAGACCCCTCCCAGTTTCCAAAAGCCACGGCTGGGAACCCTCTCTGCTTCAGCAAAGAAGAAAAAATTAAGTATTCCCTGTATTAAGAGTTTAAAAGACTTTAGAGTTTAGTAAGCTAGGGCTTAAAGGAATTTTAGGGGGCATTTGGTGACTCAATGCTTTGGGAAAGTCAGGGGTTTTGGGGTTTTGGGGTTTTGGGG